AGAGAACTAATTTACAAAAGTAGTACTGCATATGGGTATTTATAGTATTTGTTCTTAAAACTCCCAAACTCTCTGATATCATAACCCAACACTGACTCTCTTCTGCATCTTTAACATCTAGATGTGGGACTCTGTACATATTTCACATCTTAGGCTGCCACACAGCATCATACATTTTCTGTGGCCTGCAAGGTGCAATTGATTGCTTTCAGATGTTGAGTGATAGAAGATCATCAAAAAGCAAATTGATCATGACTACTTTCCCCAGAAATAGAGGTTATCATTGAATGAGGTTGTCTTTTCAAGAGGGAGCTTGAAGAACAGAAACAATTTCAGAATTCAAGCATCAGATGAATAATGCTAAAAATAATTGCAGTTGACTTAATCTTAAGCAATTAATCACAATTAAAAAGTTTGCTGTCATTATGTATTTAACCAATGGTCCTGAATTTCTACATACCTTCCTATCTTTGTTTTTACCACATAATTAATTGGGTAATTTTTGTCTAGGTATCTCTTCTAAGAATCTGAGATTGTTAAGTGGTCTCAGGAATCAAAGTTGTCTAAAAAGCAATTCTTATTTTAAGAAGTTAATAATTAAAACAGGGATGTGATGAATTATTGTACATGATTTTAATAGCAATTACTACACCACCACCATTAGCATAATGTTGCTATCATTCACTCATTTCATTGTCATTCAGTCAATGATATTTTATGATCTGAGAAGTAAGTCTGTGAGGTGATAAGAACATAGAAAAGAACAAAATGAATTAGGTTACTAAAATTGTGAGGTCCCCCGAAGCAAATAAAATGAACATTTAAAGAGATTACTGTATATTATTAAGATGAATGCCAAATAAAACATATGTATGGTATACTCCAAATATATATATATATGAATATTATGGAATATTTAATATATTATACAATGTATAATGAATAAAATAAAGCAGAATGCAAATATAGAAGGAGATAAGGCCTCTTATGTTAGAAAAATTAGTCTGACAAGACTTCTCTGAGACAGGAGCACTAGGGAGGAGCCTTGAATGATGAAAAAGAGTAACTCTCACCGAGTATATTGAAGGAGAACAAAGAACTTAACAAGTAGTGAACTTTCTTATTGCATACTGTGGTATGGACTTTATATGACTTTAATCCTCACAATATTTAAAAATAATATTCCAGTTACTCAGATTTTTTTAATAAAGCAAACTGAGGCTTAGAAATATCTTTGCAATCTTACAGCTATTAAATAGCAGAGTGGGATCATGCCTATTGTTACAATGGACTTTCAGGAAGAAAAATCATGTCTGGCTTACATAATTGGGAAAGACTCCCAGGAGAAGAGACACATGAGCAGAATGTGGAATGATTGACAAGGTCAATAATTAGATGTATATGAAAAATGTATCGGTTTTTGTCACTGTGAGAAAATATCTAAGTGAACAACATATAAGATGGACAGGTTTATTTTGGTTCATGGTTTCAGAGCCTTCAGTTTAAAACCACTTGGTACTAATGTCTTTGGGCCTGTGGCTAAGTACATCATGGTGGGGATCATGTGGCAGAGGAAATAGATTGCCAAGAAGGGGCTGGGCATGCCACCAGTGACCTAACTTCCTTCCACTAGGCCCCACCTCTTAAAGGTCCTACCACCTTCCAATAGTACCACATAGGCAGTCAAGCGTTTAACATATGGGCCTTTGGGGGACATTCAAGATGTAGACTATAACAAAAGGGATTGGATGAAACCAAATTAGAAATGGAATGGTGATGTGAATGTCATTTGAAGCTCCTGAAGCAAATCTAGGGAATGGTAATCAGATAGTATGGGGTTACAAGTTCTTTCTCCAAAGGAGACAATGCTGAAGTTTAGATAAAGACAATTACTTGTCTAGACTCACACATTTGTGTTTGATCATTTACATGGGGTGAAATGTAAAAGGACTTTAGAGAATAAAATCACATAATGAAAGCGTGCTTTTGAAATATTATTGCAGTATACAATGTAAGAGGATGGAAATGACAGAATCATTCTGAGAGATCAGCAAGTCAGCAATCATTAAACAGGGACTTCTACATGCCATAGGCATTTATGAGTCATTTTAGAGAAGCCATTCATTTTTATGCAAATAACCTTATGAACAGAAAAGTTCTTCTCATTCAAACACATCTTCTTATATTTTTTTTTTTTTGGTTTTCGTATAAGAAACGTTTCTTTTTTTTTTTTTTTTTAAACAACCTCCCTTTTATTTTTTTTTAATACACAACAGCAGTGGAAAGCATTAAAATTCTTATTACACATATAGGGCACAATTTTTCATATCTGAATATAAAGTATGTTCACGCCGATTTATGCCTTTATACATACATGTACTTTGTTGTGGTTTTTTTGCATTACAATTCTTAATACACATATATACCGCAATTTTTCGTATCTCAGTTTGTATATAAAGTATGTTGACACCCGATTCAAGTCTTCATACATGTACTTTGGATAATGATGTTAGATAGTGCTAAGTGAAATTAGCCAATCCCCCAAAAAAACAAATGCTGAATGTTTTCTCTGCTATAAGGAGGTTGACTCATAGTGGGGTAGGGAGGGAGAACATCTTCTTATTTTTAAAATGATATACTTCCATAGGTGGCTATGACTGTGAAAATATTAATTTATTTGAAATAATTACCGAATTTAGAGTATCACTGTAAATTTTCTAAGGTATTGTGCCACTATATGGTTCCAAATAATTCATTGATTTATTGATTTATTAATTCACTTATTTGAGAAATATTTATCTTTAGACAAAGAATATTATATTAGTTAAGATTATAGTCTTTGTAGCCAGACTTTATGGACAGGACCCCTATCTCTCCCATTTGTTAACTATAAGCAGATAGTAATTAATGTTTCTAAATCCCATTTTTTTCTCATTTGCAAGTCTGTCAAAATAATAGTAATCTCATAGGATTATTTTGAGGATTATGTGATATTGTGAATATGAAATACTTAGTAAAATGCCAGGCATACAGTAAGATATCTAAATCCCTGTGTTAGACAACATTTCAGACATTACATGGTATTATCATGTTCAAACACTGGAATACACAGTCAGAAGTCATTTCTCTGCAGGTCTATCAGTAGTTACAGTGGCAGTGCATAAAGATCAGAATCGGTAGATTAGAATCTGTGATTTTTTTCTTCTTTATTCTTTTACTGGAATGAAAAGTCTGTTATAATTGCTAAATTCCTATTATTTTTCCTTGAACTGTGAAACAATAGAACCTGTTTAGAGTTACTAAGAAAGTGTTTATTGTTCTTGGCTCAGATGCCCACATGATGTTGGTCCCTGCCCCTCTTTTACTCTCTTAGATCTTAATCAGTGTTTCACCATTTTCAGAGCCATTGGTGACTTTGATTCACAGCAGCAACCCTCCTACTTTTATTCCGGCTTACAAGGATCCTTGATATAGGGTGTTACTGTGGGGAATCAAGGAGAATCAAGCACACATCTTCTGATGAAGGAACTCAAAAGTTTCTGCAAGAATTCCTCATTCCAGATAAGGGTATATGATCATAAGACAACTGTGGCTTGACATGAAGTTGCTAATCTAAACCTAAGAATTTGGGAAAGCCACTTTCTTTATTTGTATGGAAAATATGAATGAAAATTATAAACAAAGTACAAGAGGAATAGAGGTGTTAGAAAATAAACATTATTTGAAATTAGGTGTAGAGTGAGTCATTAAAAAAAAATAACAATGCAATTGACCTTTACTAGATTTAGTTCATCAGAATGAAAGACAAACTGTGGTTGATGAGAGAAGGGGGACCCCAAACAAAAACTCCTCTGCTCAGATTCTTCTTGTTTTATTGAATTATTTCAATTTCATATCTTTATGACAGAATTCAATGCCAAAATCACTAGGTGAAAATTGGCAACAATATTTTAATCTGTGAGTCACAGGAAGACATTTACAAACTATTAAAATGTTTCTATCCTGTTATTCTTAGTTTAAATCAAAGCTGTTCTGTGGCTTCTTGTATGATTAATGCACACATAGTGAACTAAACACCTTCATGTTTTTCCCAGAATGAAGTAGCTACTTCTAATTAAAGAAAATTTTGCCTGGAAAGGATGTAGAGTTTGGGGAATGGAGTAGGAAGAAAGATATGAAATACTCATTGTTTTTAAACAATATTGAAAAAAAACCTGACCTTCATATTAAATCAATGTTGTCCGTGCTTTGCTTTGGTGAACTGTGGTTATATATTTCCTTTCAACAGAATAGAGCAGATATCCATTGAAAAATTAAAATCCTTATTGCATACATTGTGAGAGGTATTCAAGTTTATCTTTCCCCATCCATCTTACCTCCTTGCCAATATCATGTGTATTGCCCACTGAGACAACAGCATCAATATTGATAGAGAAGCACTTATTTAATCTAGTTACTATGTCTTGTTGGTTCTTATGAATGGTGGGGATGTTTAAAAAGAACCTGCTGTGTTGATCAATGAGCACTGTTGTGCTGTGAGGAGCATTTGGGGTGATTTTCCCATTTCTAATCTTTTCCCCTATCCACTTAGAAAAGTAGTTGACTGTACTTCAAAAACAGTTGTATTTAAATCTTTATTGTGGGTTTCATTGTAGCATGGATAAATGTAAATTGACTCACTTTATTTCCATAATTATTTTGCAGAATATTTTGGCTATCATCCTGGTGTTTACAGTCAATTCATTCAAACACCAGATATATTTTCGACAGCAGGCTTAAAGTTCTGATGGGCTATCTTCAGAGAAATCCGATTGCCCCCCAAAAGATAGCCATTTATAATACATGCACCTTTGAATAATTAAATGAGTTACCGAAGAGGAAATGGATTCTAATCAGCACTCAAACTGTGATTGTGCCATGCACTGAATCATTCCTTTATGAATATATTTCTCTTGGAGCATGTATAATTATGAAATTTCTTTTTTTTTCTATCTCGGTAGGAACTGGGAAGTAACAGCCCTCCACAGAGAAACTGGAAGGGAATTGCTATTGCCCTGCTGGTGATTTTAGTTGTATGCTCACTCATCACTATGTCAGTCATCCTCTTAACCCCAGGTAATCTGTCTTTATTCCTCTCTTATGATGGTATTGTGGATGATAATTTCACATTCAAATGCCTTAAAAGGGTAGCAATATGTGGTATCTGAGGACACATTAGCATTGGTTGGATTTTTTTTTTAAAGCATAATCAGACATTTTGCAAATGGCACAGTAATTTTGAAGTTCAAATATCATGCAGATTTTTTTGGAAACTGAAAATGTAAAATATATAAATTGAGAATGCCAAGGAGGTCTTTAGTCTCCCTTGCTACTTAGAGAATTATTATGTTTGTCAGTTTTCTAAACATATGAGACATTTGACTTTTAGTGTGGGTTGAAGATGAGGGAGTGGAGTCTAGAAATGTCTGTCTGTGGATAATAACCCATTTTTTTAGAAATGGAAAGAGAGGATTTGACAAATAGAATATCAAATTTTTAAAAAATAACAATTTACTTCTCTAATGCAAGTATCTCTTCCTCTGTCTTCTTTTTCTTTTTTTCCTGAAGATTTTAAATTCTGTGTTTTATCCCTACTAAAGAATTTCTCTAAATTGCCCTTGCAATGATCTTTGGACTGTGTTCTTCAGATTAAAGAGTTTAACATGAATATAGAAGTTACGAATCGACTTAATTCTTCCATGGGTACTATTTCAAATCACAAGAGTTTTACTACTATTTAATAGGTGTTAACAAGGAAGGCAGAGATAAATTCCCTGAACTGTCTTCCAGAAACAGATAAATCTGGCAGATTGCTATGACCTACCCAATTGCCTTCCTCAAAGATTCAATGTCCACATATGGTTCAGTATTATGAAAAACAGTCATTTCCACAATAAGATTGATCTATTCCAAAAATTAACTGATAGTTTAAAGTTGTAGCTTGTTGTTGAATGCTGTTTATTTACACCTCAGTTCCTGGCTTTGTTATTATATAAGCTCCTTAAACACATTGTACGTATTTTCCGAAGTACAAAATGTGATTAACAACAGCTCTTTTTCAGAGTCATTTAGTCAAGTAATTACAGTGACTAATTATACAAATGGCAGTTATCGATTGTTCCAATGTGGTGCTTGGTGAAATATTCCATCTTTGTAAAAATATTGGCTTTGAAATATATAAACTGCCAAAAATGTAGCTTGTCATTTTTATTTAACATATGAGGAGACTGAGAAAGGACTTATGGGAGCCCAGAGGGAGGAATGAGGAGAGAAAGGTAATTGAAAAAAGAAGAAATAAAGAAAATTTCCTGGTAAGAGCTGGCTTATCCAGCATTCTCTTCAGGAACCTTCTCTTAACTGCCTCATTTGTACATCTGTGGTACAATGTAATTCAGCAATGCAGTGGCTCCAAGTTGTTGCAGAATGCCAGGAATCTTTGCTAAAGGAAGATGAGCTTATGTTCAGATGGTGTTTCACTTAAACATAGGAATTTTAGCATAATTACACAAAATGAATGGCTTGGTTTTGCTGCCTTGTGTTGGTGGCTATTAAGCAGATGGAAGGTATTGGTGCCATCATTCCTGAGTATTTCTCTTGAACTCCTATCTTCAAACCTTATTCTAGTATCCATATCCCAGTATATCAACCTCATATTTTGTTTTGTTGAGTGAGACACTGGGGGTCCCTGAAAATTTGGAATAACAAGTATACCATAGACATGGCTACTTATTAAATTAAACTTGATCTACCCAGCCTTTTCCATTTTCCACAAGTATAAAACCACAGTATGATTATATGCATTTTTCCACGCACTTGTTCATGTATTAAAGAAAGGGCTTAGAGGAAGATAAATTCTAGATAGAGTTCCAGCTCTGTAATTAACAAGCTTTTTTTTAAAAACATGGCAAATTGTTTAACTTTTTATTTTATTTGTTTACACGAATGGAGCACAACTTTTTCATTTCTTTGGTTGTGCATGATGTAGACCTTCACCATTCATGTGATCATACCTATACGCAGGGATAATAATTAATAATGTCCATCTCATTCTGTCATCTCCGCCCAACACACACTACCCTCTCCTCCCCTCTCTCCCTTCCCTCCCTTCTGCTCCATCCAAAGTTCCTCCATTTTTCCCTTGGCCCCAGCCCATTATGGATCAGTATCCGCTTATCAGAGAAAACATTTGACCTTTGGTGTTTTGGCAATTGGCTTACATCAGAAATATTTAACTTTGCTTCTCATTTATTCATCTGTATTATTGGCATGTTATATAGTGCCAACTTTATTATTATGAGCATTAAATAAGATAATATTGTTCAACTATTTATTATAATACCTATCACCACTGTTACTATTCCTCTGATTATCCCTATTTTCATTACTTACTGACCACTCAAAACTATGTCAAACATTGTGCTACATGAAGGGTATTTTCCAGAAAAAAAATATAAATTCTCTCAAGAAGATAGATCTTATTCAAATTGAATTTTAAGTTATAACAAAAAAGAATGACTAAATGCTTAATCTGGAATTAATCTTATAGTGGTCTGATTGTTTTTTCATTTGTTTATCCATTCATTCATCTAATAGATAAATGTGGAGATCTTCCCACATTTTAAGTCCTGTGGTTTTTGCCTGCACTACTACTTTTTCATAGCTTTCCTCTCCAATCCTCTTCTTCTGCAGTCACAAAGTATACAAATCTAGAAAACCCATGTACCCCAAATCCAAAGACTTCATTTTATATTACATTAGTCATCCAAATAAAAGTGGAAATTATTACTGAGATTTATAGTTTACCTAGAGCATTTCGCATATCCAAATGTCATTTGATTTCACTGCTATTTTGGGCAGGGATATTATTAAATAAAAAAAAAAAAACATTAACTGGAGTGGGAAAACTATAGCTATAGGAAGCAGACACCTGTGTTCTCCACCATCTGTTTGTAAAACTCATTGCCCCCAGGGACTTGGATGATTACATAAATAGATGAAAATGGGTAGATGACACAGGTTAGGAACTCATTGACCTGAGATCTAGCATGATGCCAGCCAAGTTACATGGCCTCTGTGTGGGCACAAGTAATATGTATAACCAGAATATCTACAGGTTGGTGCCTAAGATTTGAGCCATAAGCCTGGAAGCATACTTAGAGTTATCTAGTCTTTTTACCCTCATTGCCCAGAAAACAAAAAACCTGAGTTTAATTTTTAATATTTTTCCATATTTTTATTGGGTGCATTATAATTGCACATAATGGAAGATTTTCTGTAAAACCTATTGATCTTTTGTTTTTGAGTATGAAAATGTGCATTGAGGCTGCTAATTACACTTTTGAAATAGAAAAACTTGTATGGAGTCCTGCATGCCTGTGGTTAGATTCTGGTTCTTTAATTGTATCTAGCCATCCTTTCTTCTCAGACTTGTGGTCCTTCAACTATACTAGAATAGACCCACAAGGGAAAACCCAGGCTAAAAAGATAATTGCACTCTTCCCTTTTAATCTGTTATACTAGTATGACACTGAAGTCCAGCTATCTTGTTAAAACCGTCAAGCATATGGAGGTTTTCAACCAGGAAGAGAAATATGTCAGGAAGGGAAACTCCTGATACAATATTATTCAGCAAACTATACCTTTGTGTTCTAGAACTGACTCTAGACCAACTTTTCCAATAAGTGTGCAAATCAGAAATTCATATGACTTGTGTAGCTACATAATCTTGATCAAATCACATATTACCTTCTTTGCTATCAAACATGTTGGTCTATTTTTCTTTTTGTTAACATATACCTGAGATAATCAACTTACAAAATTTACTTTTGCTCACAGTTTTGGAGCTCCTGCCCAGGATTGGCACACCCATTTCTTTTTGGCCTCTGGTGACAGGGCAGCACATCATAATGGGACTGCATGGCATATACAGTTGGGATGTGAAAGAGGAAGAAACCAAGGTTTTCCAATCCCTCTATTGACATGTGCCCACTGACATAAATTCTCCCACTAGGCCCCACCTTTTGAAGTTTTTACCACCCCTTGATAGTAGCAAACTAGAGACCAAAATTTTAACCCATGATGTTAGAAGAATATTCCAGCTTCAAACAATAGTTTCTGTATTTCATTGAAGTAAAGGATATCTGGTTTGCTAGACAATGCAGTGATCTCTTGAATTTTCTTAAAGCTTTCATGCCCGTGATCTAATATGATAGGGATAACAATGATCATAGTAATTTGCTTACCAACAAATAACAACAAATTAAACCCAGTATTCTTTTTTGCTAAGTCTTTTCCACCTTCAAAATATATGTCATGTTTTTTTTTTGAAAGATGAAAACATACAAAAGATTATGGAGTCTGAGAATAATTTAGAAACTGTTTTGCTCAAAATAGCATCACAGTTTGTAGGTAAGTGCTGAGGAATGCAAGCCTATAACCAGAGAGATACATGTTCATTGTAATTTTGGTTTGATTACAAATTTTATTACAGAAACAATTTGACACAGGTGCCTTAATTTCAAAAATTGTTAGAATCTTCTGGGCTTTATGAAGAGAGGTCTTGATTATTTTTGAAGAGTGGGTCAACCATTCAATTATTTCCTTTAATAAATAACAATTTCTGAAAAAATCAACTATTTACTCCATTTTTAATTAAAGGCAGACATTTAGATATGTTAATCAAACCTACGTATTCTTAGCTAGTATTGAGTTTAATTTAATTTAACTTAATGAAAAAAATATATGTACCCTTATTTTCAGAATATGATGATTACATGATCGGTAATTATCTTCTACACATATATGAGAAGACAGTCATACTTAAAGTTGTGGAAACATGTCTAATGTTACTGTGCACTTACTTTGCATCTTTATTTTATGCTTAGTATGTAGAAGGAAACTGACCATCTGAAAAATGTTTATGCAGAATACAGTTTTCTATTTTGATCTGACGGGAAAATGAAATTGCATATTTTATGAGTTAGAATATGTTTTGTGAACAGTATTCATTAAGATGTTTAATTTGTCTGTCCTGTTAAAATAACACCCTGTAAGCTGTTTATGCACCAAAGTTCTAC